TTAGCAAAGAAATGAATTTTTCAAACTTCCAGGATGCCTAAGTTAAAGAAAATTGACAATTCTTGCAGATAGGTGTGGCACCTCAACATACAGTTGTACAATTTCTGGCCAGAGACACTGCGTCTAGAGAGACAGCTAAACACAAGACTGAAACACATACTAGAGGATCAAGTCTGGGAAAACATAAGCAGAATTCCTCGATAAGTGTACCCAGGTCTAGACTTTGTCCCTAGAGTCAGTGTGCTTTGACCAGTGATCACAGGTTCACCGGCATTTCATGTTTCCAAATTAATATAGTACAGAAACACTCTAAAGAATTCTGAATTTTTGAGTGAATATAAAGCTGTTGAACTTTGAGGGGGAGAGTTTCAAAGGCACAAACAGCACTTAACTTCCAATTATGCTTTGGAAAATGTCCCACTGGAGGCTAATAGAACTGATTTATTTTCATAAACTTTAATTACTTCACACTTTTTTTTTTTTTTTTTTTTTTTTTTTTTTAACTGAACAATATAATCAGTTCAACAGATCAGCTCAAATGCAATACACAAAGCAAAAAGGGACCTGCTCCAAATCCAGACTTCCTCCTGGAAGTTTAGATTTTTAATTAATCTTCATATTACATGTCTAGATCACAGAATTGCTCAGGTTGGAGGGGACCTTACAGACCACCCAGATCCAGCCCTCTGCCTCAGGCTGTCTGTCTTGCTGCCACCACCAGATCAGGCTGCCCAGGGCCCCAGCCAACCTGGTCTTGGGCACCTCCAGGGACAGGACATTCACAGCTTCAAGACAGATAACTGAATACTTGTGCTTGCTATAATATCTGTACACAACAAGCATACTCTTCTACATAACTAGAAACTACATACTATTCTAGATAACTAGGAGATATTTTTAGTAGTGGTATTTATATTAACTAATTTGGGATTAAAAAATATTTTTGTTTTGTCTTTTATGAATTTGCAGGCTTTTTTTTTTTTTTTCCAGCAATGTAAGTGATAATAACAGTGAAGAACTAGCTCAAGATGTATTATTTGGACAGCTTGCAATGCCAGAGAGAGATCCAGCAAGACAGAACAGCGAGGAGAAATGTGCAGTTTTAGGTCTCCTTGCGTGCAATTCCCCCTTGTGCTTAAGATATTTATTGAGACATTCAGTTAGTATTCATTGCAATTTAGCAGCAAATTTTTTAGAACAGAAACCCTGTTTATTTTATATATTTCTTAAACATAAGTGTCTCAGTTAAGGTGCTTTACATGCCTGGATGATTTGTGAAACCCTTCCGGAAAGAGCATGAGGACAGGGCTGTTTGCTCTGTGAGCTGAGGTGAGAACAGGTGCTGTCTGGCAAAAAGCAAGAAAATATTGCCCTCTAGTGCACAAAGAAAGCAGAAGATGCAAAGTCCAAGGTGTGTGTGGGAGGGTGTTAATCATTGTTTCAAGATATCTCACATGCTAACAAAACTAAGACTTGCTGCAATTAGCTGTTTTGTGAGGAGATTACCCCCTCCCCCCCCCCCCCCAACCCCAAGGCTGTCCTTCCCACAGAGAGAGCAGTTCTGCTAATCCAATAAACCCTCAGAGTCGGGCTGAGTGACTCATCAATGTCACTGCATCTGAAGCACGGCCTCATAGACAATGCTTCACTTGATCTGGTTTTATCTTTTTATAAAATCTTAATTAGAGCTTTAATAAGAAGTGAGATCCCAACAAGCACACAGCAAACTGCAGAATGAAGGAAGTACCAATGGGATTCAGGGAGGGGGAGGGGAGGAAGGAAAGATAGTCTTCCAATTAAACTCCATGATTTTAATTTCTTAGCAATAGCTGCATTTCTTTTCTATTTCTCCCTTCACACAGTAGACATTACTAAATACAGGACACTTTTTTGACTGCTCGTTAAACCCAATGCAGAAGTTACCCACCTTGCTCACTGTTTTTGTTAACTGCCACATGACACACAACAGGGTCACTAACACTAAGTAAAACTCTAGTAAACTCACAGCCAGCCTCAGCAGCAACTCCCTCTACCTAAACTGCCAGAGCAGGAGCAAGCTTCTCTTGAATAAATAGACCTTTTAATTCACAATTGCTTCAGCAATTACTCATGGCTGAAAGCAGTCTTTTGGTGTCTAAAAGGGGGGGGTTATAAGATAGAAGGAGACAGACTTAGCAGGGCCTGTGGTGATAGGACAAAGGAAAATGGTTTCAAACTGAAAGAGAGGAGACTGGACATAAGGAAGGAGGCTTTTTACAATAAGGATGATGAGGCAGTGGCACAGGTTGCCCAAAAAATGGTGGATGCACCACCCCTGGAGACATTCAAGGTCTGACTGAAGGGGCTCTGCGCAGCTGATGGAGCTGTAGGTGTCCCTCTTCATTGCAGGGGAGTTGGACTAGATGGCCTTTACAGGTCCCTTACAATTCAAACCACTCCATGATTCTAACTCAAAACCAAAGTCATAAAATATAACTGGCAAACAAGTTTCCTCACTACCTTTTGTGAAAGCTCTTTTCAATTTTTTTTCACATAGAAATTAGATGAGTAGCTTTCAGAATAGTAATAAATAAATAAATCACAATTATAATCCAACAGACAGTTGAGAAGCATCTTCTCTGAAAGAGTTGTTTCCTCCTTGGAGTTCAAAAATCATCCACTGCTTACAGTCCCACATTTTTCCAATAGGTAAATAATATAAATTACTCAGGCAGACGTTAATTCTTATTTAAATCCATAGAGTAATGTAGGCTATTTGTTTAAGTTAACTTTAATTGCTTCTGAGTCATATGATTCATTGTTAGCAATGGTTCCTCATGAATTTAGGAAGAACTATCAAGAAGTGCATGAGTGTGTCAGAGCTGGCCAAACAGTCAGGTTTGAGCACCTCATATTTCAACAGTACAAGACAGTAGAAACAGTCTAAAGCCCCCAACATTTTGTAAGAAATGCTTTGATCCAGGGCACACACTTATGTTCCCACCCAGCACTCACAGAACTAACTGTGAGTTCATGGCTCAGCAACTCCAACACTACACGTCCCATACAATCTCCCCATTTATCCCTGGGAGAACAGAAAATTGAGCTTGCACTGCTGTAGCTGCAGTTTCCACAACCTACTCAATCATTTGGAAAATTCATGTGAAATTTTAATCATTGACAGTCCTTAAAGGGACTGTAAAGTACTTATCACTCCAAGTACAGAAGAGAAACTGAGAGACAAGTTCTCCAAAGCACTCCTATCTTTTTCTTTACTTTTATTAGTTTCACAGTCTAAAAGAGAATCTGTAAACCCTTTGCAGAATACTGAAGTGCAAAATTATGAATTTGACGTGGAACTAGACCCTATGGTTAACTGACATTTTCTTTCTCATTTTATTACACAATCTTTAGTTATTCCTAGTTATAATAGTAATAAACCAGTTTAGCCAATAAATGGCCATAAATAAAAATACCATTGTGCTCAAGAAACTATGTTTAGACTTTTTTTTTTTTTTTTTTTACCCTAAGAACATGGGAGAATTCTGCTGTATTAAGATAAAATGCATAGGTTGCCCTGAAAGTAATTCCTCCTATTTATTTCCTTGGAAACTATAACAGATAGAAGACCATACTATTTGATAGAGCAAATTCTCAGCTACAAAGCATTGCTTTTCAACATTGTCACCACCATTGGCTACGCATTTTTGCCAGCAATGAGTAAGAGCCTTATAAAAAACCACATCAACGGAAATGACCCACTGTTCCACAGCTGCTATGACAGCATTGTCACTAGGATAATGTCGCCCATGCAGTCCATCTTTCATCAGCCTGAACAGATGGAAGCCAGAAGGCGCCAAATCTGATCTATACAGTCAGTATGGTAAGATAGTCCAGCCTAGATTGGCTAATGTGCTCCACAGTCTTCAAAGAGGCATGGGGCCTGGCATTATCATGTTGCAAGAGAAAGACTGTCTTCTTCTCTCACCTGACTCTGAAAGATTGAACTTTCAGCTTAGTCAGTATCATTATGTAGTGGTCAAATTCATGGTTTGTTCAGGTTCCAGAAAATCCAGAAGGATCACCCCTTTCCTATCTCAAAAGTGCACATCGCTTTACCTGCTGAAGGCTGTGTCTTGAGCTTTTTCTTTGATGAAGAATCTGCATGTCATCTCTTCATGGACAGCTGTTTTGACTCCAGCTGATAGTGGTGACACCACGCCTTGCCACCAGTAATGATGTGTTCTAGGAAAATGTCACCTCCAGCTTTATGTTGCTTCAATAGGTCCTGCCAAATTTGTATATGTTGTTCTTTCTGTTCCTGTAAGCATTCATGGAATTCACTTGGCACAAACTCTGCAATATTACAACACCGCCACCAACATTTCCAACATATTGAATCTGATATTCAGCTCCATACACAGTTCCTTGGTCATAATCCTTGGCAGATTATCAGATCATCTTATCAGATGAGCTGATCAAGATGCTCTGCATTTTGTGGTGTAATAGCTGTGCACGGTTGTTGGAACGTGGCTTGACTTTCATGTTGCTGTCATCACTGCTGAAACACGCTACCCAGCACCACCTCACTGTGCTCACATCCTCTGGTCTCCAGAAACATTCAGCAAGAATTGATGCATGTCAACAGGTGCCATTTTTCTTCCACATGGAAGAGTTTAGTGGCACACCTTTGCTTCATACGCACTTCCATGTCAGACACCATTATGTCAGACTAACCCCTCTGCTGCCATCTCTCGTACTGCAACAAAATGTAACAGAATATTGGCAGGTAAGTTCAACCTCCACTGCCGTATCATCAACATCCACCACTGATGTTGTGAGCCAACATAATAAAATAGAAGCAGCTCTGGTATGTTAAAGAAAGCAAGCAACATTTGAACTGTTCAAATAGTGCTTGAGCCTCCCTCTCAACTTACATCGCTGATATCATTGTCTTTATTAACATGCATTTTTAATTGCTTTATGGATTTTATTTACTTTTATTTTACTTGTTGTTGTAGATAATGTTAAGAGTTTTCTTCATTGATTATTGGCAACTGCTGCATTCTGAGAAAGCCTCTTTCAATTTAGCTTTCCAGATCCTTTGATTTCCTGCTCCAACAGCTTTATAATCTCTCCAACAACTTCATAAATGCACTGCAATGGTCACATGAACGTCTCAGGAGAGGAATCAACACCTCCACGTCTCACTGTTATTATGGCACTTTAGAAAGAGAAAACCAAAAAGAAACAAGTCCAGGTCAAGTTGGAAGTCTTACAAAAGATGAATCTAATAGTGAGGCTCCGAAGAAGTTTCAGAACCCTGGTCATTCTCCTGGCTGCCTTCTGCCTAGCAAGTATTGTCATTTCTGCCTATTACCTGTACACTGGCTACAAGCAGGAGATGACTCTTGCAGAAACCACTGGAGAAGCAGAGTGTGAACATCTCAAGCTTTTACCATACAGGTCCATGGAGCTGAAAACAGCTAAACCAATTGATCCATCTAAAACTGATCCCACCATCCTTCTCTTTGTGGAAAGTCAGTACTCCCAGCTGGGACAAGACATCATAGCCATCCTTGAATCCAGCAGATTTCAATACCACATGGTCATTGCTCCTGCCAAGGGAGATATTCCCCCTCTCACAGACAATGGAAGAGGAAAATATACGATTATTATATACGAGAATATTTTAAAGTATGTATCCATGGACTCATGGAACAGAGAGCTTCTGGAAAAATACTGCGTGGAATACAGTGTTAGCATAATTGGTTTTCATAAAGCCAATGAGAACAGCTCCCCAAGTACAAAACTGAAAGGCTTGCCATTACATCTTTACAATAACATTGCCCTCAAAGATTGTGTTGTAAACCCTCAGTCTCCCCTTCTGCGCATTACCAAAGCACCAAGGACTGAGAAAGGCCCACTGCCTGGTGAAGACTGGACAGTTTTCCACTTCAACCATTCCACCTACCAACCTGTGCTTTTAACTGAACTGCAGACTTCCAGGCCAACCCCCATGGCATTGCCAAAGGCTGCTCTGTATGCAACTGTCATCCAGGACATGGGGCTTCATGATGGGATTCAGAGAGTTCTTTTTGGAAACAACCTGACTTTCTGGTTGCACAAGCTGATCTTTATTGATGCCATCTCTTTTCTGTCAGGGAAGAAGCTCACACTGTCCTTGGATAGATACATTCTGGTTGACATTGATGACATCTTTGTTGGGAAAGAGGGAACAAGGATGAATGTCAACGATGTGAAGGTAAGGCAAGAACTGGGGAATACCATCCTGGATGCAAACATGTTCATTGGTAACAAGGAGATAAAGGGTAAAAAAACTGAGAGTCCCACTTCCGTTTAAAGGCTCAAAGTACATAATTGTACCCAGCAAACACAGAAACAGCAACCCCAGGCTGTTTTAAATGTCTCTGTACTCACATGCATACAGAGATGCATTTAAGTATCTTGAATGCATGGAGATGGCCTCAAACAATAAAGTATATAGAAAAGATATTGACCACCTCTCACTCCTGTAAGTCCTGCTCATTTGAGAAAGTGGATAAAAAAGAACAAAAACATTTGAATACCTCACATAACCATTTTTTTCTCTCCAAACTAAGACAAAGGCACCTCCATTTCTGGAGCAAATTTACTGATGAGAACCCTGAACTCAGATAAGAATGCATTTTACACTGCATTAATTTTCCCCCCCTTTGAATATACATACATGTGTATGTCTGCTTATGATATATATATAAATTCCATTTATATGCATTTGCTGTTATTTCTGTCATTATTAATGAAAGATTGTTCATTTTTTACAATCTCCCGTAACTATCACTATATCAAAATAGAATAAAAAAGGAATGGAAAAATTGGTCACAGTTTGACTTTCAGTGCTTAGCAGGACAATTTTCATTAACAGATAAGTATCCAAAGTTACTAGTGATAGGTTGAAAGCACAGCCTACACTTAAGCAAATGACCTAAGTATCTGATAAGATGAACTGCTCACAGACTATTTTTTGGAGGATTTTTCAAACTTATTTTCATAGTCTTTAATACTCAGAGACTCAATTATATCTGTTTAGATTAATTGTTTAGATTAATTCTTAAAAGTGCATGCACTATAGGAAGACATGCAGACTTAAAGAGGTAAATAGACAGAAGTCTATACTGCACAAATAGACAGAAGTCTACTGCATGAAAATTACTTTATTGCGATTTTCCACATGCATGAGAATCATGTTCAGATATTAACTGAAGCTCCTAAGCATGCAACATTACATTCTCTAGCCTTTATTATAGAATTTTCATGTAAATACTCTACTGCTTTTGTGACCAATAAATTGGTCACTGTTTTTTCTTTTTTTTTTTTTTTTTTTTTTTTTTTTTAAACACCTAGGTATCTATTTTGTTTCTTAATACTTATTTCCAGTTCCATGAGCTTTACATTTGCCTGCCAACTCATCTGGATCACTAAGAGAGTGATATAATAGCCTCCAAAAAGAGTAGTTTCATACAAATAAAACATTGGAAAACTATTAATCAAACCAGGAGTATGATAGATCATCAGAGCAGCATCCAGACACTTAAAGAGCCTGCATTAGATATTCCTGGTGTCTTGTGATCCAAGCGCTATGCACAAGCTAAGTGATCAAGTGTTTCCTCTGAAGAAATGTATGATAAAACCCACTGAAAAAGGGCCCATCTAAAAGAGGAAATTAGCTGAAAATGCAATTGTGGAACAAGTTTTTCCAAGTGGAGCTTTTTGCACACACAGCTTTTAGAGCCTTATCTACATTGATTAAGAAGTCCCTATTACTTGAACAGAACATCCACATCAAGACACTTGTAAATTCAAACCATACTGTCATCTGAAATAATCTCCAAGCCCCAAGAAAAGCCCCATATCATTTTCCTTTTTCATCCAGAAATCAACAACGCTAGTAGACAAACATTTCACTTATGCTTGGCAGAGCAGCCATGTCCCATCATCATTCTTTATGGGAGGTACAGGACAAAACTGGAGATCTGAGGGCTTATGTGAGGAGCTGAATGTCAGAATTCTAGCTGCTAAGAGCATTTAGCATCACCTCTGTATGCTGCACACATTCAGCCATCTGAAAACTGAATAGTCCAGAACACTGAATACCTTAACAACAAGAGAAAGGATCTGCTAGGCTTCAGACTTTAATAGTAATAACAATAAGCATGTTGAGACTTCTCTTTATGGATTATATTCAAGTCAAGTTTTGAAGGGAAGCTTTCATTGTTCCTACCTTTCTCAAGTGTTAAACAAGGAGCCCATCTCCATTGCAATACTACAAATAGTATCATTCACAGGATAAATTCTCTCTTGGTCTCAGAGAAGAAATCACACAACAAACACAAACCATGGTGAGACATCTTTTGCAGGCACATGCTCAGAATCGACTTCCCCATCAGGCATACTTTTGGAAGGGATAATTTCTTTCTCTTTTAGATGATGCTCCATATAAAGAGATTCTGCACCTTGACCATCCGTTACTATTCTGCATGTCAAACTCAAGCTTTCATTTCAAATCAGACTAGACATTCTCAGAATATAGTAGCATTCAAAACAGAATGCTTGCTAATGAATATGACAAAAAAAAAAAAAATCAGGGTGTACTTTAGTTAGTTTACAGTGAAAGATAATTACAGTGAGTTAGAGGAAAATCTCAGAAGTCACTTGGGAAAGAAAGCAATTAAGAGCCAGTGAGCCTGGCTTCACTTCTCACAACAAAGCAGCCTCCTTGGTCAAAACACAAAATAGCAAAGGAAAACAATGTTTAGGAGGCTAATACTTAAGCAATGTCAATATTGTTAAGCACTGTGACAAGCCTGCTCAAAGGGGGCCGTGTTTCCACAGCACAGTTGGAGACTGGCACGAAATACATGGAGGTGACACACAGAGGCAACAGTTGTGCTTGCCTTGTATGTGTATTGCAAGAGTGAAAGCAGGAGCAGGGAGGCGATTCCTCCATTTTCATCTGTGGTGAGGCTGTACCTCAAGTATTATGTTCAGTTTTGGGCCCCTTGTGTCAAGAGAGATGTTGAGGCCCTGGAGCACGTTCAGAGAAGGGCAATGAAACCGGTGAGGGGTCTGGAGCACAGGTCCAATGGGGAATGGCTGAGAGGGTGAGATTGTTTATTGTGAAGAAAAAGAGGCTTGGGGGAGACCTTATGGCTCTCCACAACTGCCTGAAAAAAGATTGTGGTGAGGTGAGGGTTGGCCTCTTCTCCCTGGTAACAGCAATAGGATGAGAAGGAACAGCCTTAACTTGTGTCAGGAGAGGTTGGATGGGTACGAGAAAGAATTTCTTCTCAGAAACAGCGGTGACGCACAGGAACAGGCTGCCCAGGGAGGCACTGGAGTTGCTATCCCTGGAGGTGTTCAAGAAAAGGTTGAACGTTGTGTTGAGGGACATGGTCTAGTGGACAGTACCAGTGGTAGATGGATGGTTGGACTACATGATCTTAGAGGTCTTTCCCAACCTTTATGATTCTGTGAGAATTGTACAGGCTCTTTATGTTGTTCAATGAGAACAAACATTGAATAGGAAACAAACAAAAAATTTAGACCATTTCCTTTCTTTTCCGAGCTGCATATTTCAGGTATATTCAGCACAAAAATCATAGTCTGTATGAACAGTTTTGTGTATATCAACATTCATTTCATCCTATCTCCTGTAACAGATGTTTACAGCATCAGCATCTCCAACATGGACTTATTTATACAGTACTTTAAAAACACACAAAAAACAAACATGAAGTGCTGTTTGTAATGAAGAAGTTTCTCAGCATAGTACAATTCACTGAATTATGCCACATTGCTACTTCTTCAATTCCTTCAGTTCATAGCACTTGTCATTAGAGCTGGCACAGATTTACTCTGCAAAGTTATTTGGGATTCTGTTAGACTCTTAAGGTGCCATAGACACTAGTGTTGCTTGGGAATGCTTTTATATGCACCATATTCCCAGATGCATGCAAGAAAACTGGAAACAGATGCACTCTTCCAAAACCATGTTGAAAATACAGTCAAATAACATCAGTCTATTCAAGCTCTTAGGAATTTCCTCTCAGTGACCAAGTGTATAACTGCCAATCCAAAGGACACATGACTAGAAATGAGTTTTTTGATAACAGTATTCATATGTAGCAATAAAAAGACTAGTAACACTGTTCCTGTGTAATTACTTCTGCAACTTGAATGTTTTTATTCTCTCACAAAGCCTTTCCTCAATTAGGTGCTTCGAGGATATATATATAGTTTTATAAAGGGTGGCATCAGCTAGAGAAACAGAGATTAGAAAACAGAGTTATTATGGGCTCTATTTACCACAAAAGATCTCCTAGTCCCTTGTATTACAGAAGTTGTGCAAGGTCATATCTGGCTAAGTAATTAAACAGGAACTCAGCAGAGCCACAGAAAGCTATTTTCCCAAGCTTTGCAGAGATCTATCTTGAGCTCAGTGAGCCCCTACAAATGAATTCCTCTATTTCCCTTCTGCCAATATATTATCTCTCTGCTTGATTTTAGAAGGCGAAAGACTCAAGAACTCTTCAGTTACTTTGCAGAATTACTGAATTCATGTGCTTACAAATTATTTCAGCTCCTGACCGTATGATGAGTCTATGATAGGCATCAGTGGTTTAGCAAAAACAACTAGAAATATCTGCTTTTGCAGTCTCTGAGGTTGCCACAAAGAAAGAATACAGAATGTTTATCTTTAAATTTCTTTATAAGTGAGCACAAACAGTAGCATTACTCAAACAGGTAGTGAGATCTCATGAAGGATTTTCCTTTGCTACTGTTATTGTACAAAGTTGCAAAATATATAATTTATACTCACCTAGGAAAAGCCCAGAGCAACCACGAAGAAACTTTCAACACCCTCCCAAACCACACTTTCTGATCTGGAAACAATCATTTAAAATAGCACAAATTAAAAACAAACAAACAAACAAACAAACAAAAACCCTCCAAGATCACATTAAAAGCAAACATTCTTCCACCTAAAGTAAATAAATAAACAAAATGCAGAACAGCTTCCCTTCTATGAGCTTCTTCCAGGTGGACCCTCTCAAGAGCAAGCCACCTGCTTCCCTTGCTTTCCCAGCTGAAGCCAATAAGCAGAGAAATTTTTCAACATAATACCAACAGGACACAAAGCCCCTTTCTCTAAAAGTTATGTTTCCCTTTTCTCTGTTGCCTCTAATTGCTGCACAAGGATCATCCTTGTGCTGAGATGTAATAAAATGATGGAGCAATGTTATTGTCCTATGTGTTCTGACCTGGGTGTGGGCTCTGCTTTTCCTAGCAGCATCAAATAACCTGTCTGTATTCTCCCCCATTCTCCTGCTCTAACCTTCAGTTCACTCACTTCAGTAGGAAAAAAAAAAAGCATTAATCTCTGACACCTCCTCGCTTCCACAAGTCTGCACTTTGCCTTTGACTTTAACCATCATTAAAATGCCTAGAACACTTAAAAGGTGTGATTTCTTGCTCATTTTAGTATTTTAAAGACAAGAACTCATGCTGGAGTCACATCTTTTCTGATAATTCCAAATTAAAGAGTACTGGCTCAGCAGGAGTCTACACTCAATAACAGAATCTCTCTAGCATATGCTTTTTCTGATTTTTCTGCAAGGCAAATTGCTTTCAGATAGAATGGTTAGAAATTTCTGGGCCACATTATCAGGTATAACAGAGCAGTATTCAGTAAAAAGCTGCAGGTGGACGCAGGATGGGTAATACTGTGTGCTACATGTTCATGCAAACTCTCAACTTTTGAAGGAAGGAATTTAATAAGCTGCTGTGGACCAATACTCTATTTCTGCTTCAGTTCTGCTGGAATCCCTTCCCTCACATGCTGTTTAGGATTGATAGCAAGAATCCAATCCAGGCATGTGGATAAGGAAGCTCTGTTTGAGAACAGACAATAGTGTATTTCTGCGTCCCTTTGCAGAAATACAAAGTCTTGCAATGTATGCCCAATCTATGTCTTGCAATGTATGCCCAAGTTTCCATAGAAGTTTTGCAGCAGTAGTCAAGAGCAGACAAAGGAGTCTGGGAGGACAATAATGGATAACTGAATTTCTGACCCAGGTTTCTACAGATTTTCTCTGGATGCCCTCCTTTCCTGGAATTCAAGCACAACTGTGGAGAGATGATGATAGAAGTTGCAGTTGCCAAATACTTCCATCTCCCTCCACTTAGTTCCAAATGTACTCATTATCAGTTCCCTAAATCAATCCCCAAAATCTAAAATTCCTGATGCTGTAGATAGGAATTGGAAACAAATCTTATTTTTGATTGTTAATTCATCTGTGTCTTTTACCTTCAGCAAAAGTTGAAGCAACCATTTCCTTTCTGATAATGTGAGATATACTAGCCATTCCTGTCATCCTTCTATAGTAATAAACTCCTGCCAATAAAGTAACCACATCAATGGACAACAACAGGGACAAACTGAAAGCAGAAGATGCACAAGCATTGGAAGTCAGAGCAGACAGCTGAGCATTAGTCATTACAGCCTAAGTATTACCACCACGACACCCTTTAAAGCACTTGACAATGGCAGTGAAGAACACAATGAACAGAAATTCAGAAGTTTCCATTTGGATGATCTTAAAGACTTAAAAAATGAATTTTAAGAGCAGTTGAGAATGCATTATAAGAAAAAATTAATAATCAAGCAACCCATTTTTTTTTTTTTTAAATTGGAGTTTCTATGCCATTCTACATCAGCAGAGATGACTGATCTTTCAATATTTTCCTTGCTGATATCTCTTGAGTCTCCCTGTTCCTTCTGTCCAGTGTTGAACAGTGCTCAAGTGCCTTGTCTAGAAACATCACACAAAGCATTTTATACTTCAGCTCTTTTCTAATTTTGGTTTCAGTAAAGACTGCTCTTTCATTCACAGTTTCAGCACTGACATAGTGAAAAAACACAATTTCTTTGCTGTCAGCAAAACATTTATTTTTCTCTTTGGCAGCCTGGAGGATTGACTGTCTGCCCAGGCACCTTATCTGAATTATAATAGATTTGGGGTTCTCTCATGTTATAGATTTCCCATTAAAGATATGATAGGTCTTCAGCATAAGACTGTATTTTTACTGTAAAACGAGGTCAAGAAACTCCAATTGTCTAGTACTTTCACCCTGTTCATTTAGATAATTACATTGCTTCCACATATCTCACATATTAAGAATACCTCTCTTTTCCCAGAGATCACACTGACTTTTGTGCAGTGCACTTTGATATTGCTTGTGGGAGGATCTCAGAAAACAGACTTTTTTTTCAAGAAAAAGCTTTCACAAAACAAGAAAACAAATTAAAAAAAAAAAAAGAAGATTAAAATCCTTAATTTTACAGCTTTTTGAGCAGCTGTAAGAAGTAGATAGTTTAATGTTCAAAACATAGTGAATTCTGACTTAAACAAACAAACAAACAAACACAGAACAATACATTTCAACATGTAGAAAGGGCATGGGCTCTTTAGTCTAGTTCATTAAGTGTGCAAGAGCGAGTGCTCACAGCCTGTGCCTAGCATTGTTATTATGTGACACAGTCTTATGTCAACCATTCTGTGAGTTTCCTAAGTTCACACCTATTTCCTGAATGCCTTCTGCAGTCATAGGATGTGTCATACTGGAATGTATTTTGAAGATGTATGTTGTTCTCTCTGTTTTATTTAGCTTCATTTAATTTCATTTAATTTGTTTTCATGGCATTTAGGCAATCAGTAAGAGCTAAAAAGCGTGGCTGCTTTATATCAACCTCTCAAGAGGCCTACAGTAACGTGTGTTTTAAAACAACGCATGTTATTTAAAAAGGTGCACTAACAATTGTTCCCTGTATGATAAAACAGTATTGTAAGTGATGGAATACCTTTCAAAAAAGGCTAGCCAATGCAGACGTAAAAAGCAGTCATAATTATTGCCTTAAAAGCACCTGATGCAACAAAAAGCACATTACTATGAATGTCCTATATGCATTGCAGTTGCTTTACCAGCGGTGTTACTTAAGCAACTTCAATTGCACCATTGTCTTTCCATCTCAATCTAGAATTATTAATATCATTTGTATTATTTAAACAATTTGAAAACACAAATGTTCAGAAAAAGTGACTGAATAGAAGGATGGACAAAATAATGAGAGAACAGAAAAACTCAAAGATAAGAAGGAGTATGTTGATACTAAAAATATTCAGCAATAATTAACTGGCAATTTTTTGTACACCTTTAAGACACAATACAGTATGAAAACAAATGTTCGTTTGTGTCTGGTTTTGAATTCTTAGATAGATACATATCTACACATATATGCATATGTCCACACAAATTTATGACTTTTTTTTGTCTCTTCTATTAATGTGGTCATAGATGCCTACAATTAATACTTTTATTTCTAATGTTGCAAGTCTCTACTTGTCTTCTTATCACAGTGGCAGAAGAGTGTAAGAGCTTTTAAGTAAAATGTACCAAATCCCTGAGGGCAGCAGAAGAGACTAGTGTGAGCAGCATGTCAGATTCTGGGCTCAGAATCACTCTGAAGTCCAAAATCAAATTCTAGTAAATGGACTCTTAGTTATAATTCCTGAAGATACTGCATATCAGTGTGCAGAACTTCAAAACTGGTGAGTCATTACAGATAGTGGTAGCAGATAATAGGATAACCTTCAAACCAAAGCTCCTGTTTCCTTTCAGAAAAATAAATGACAGTGGTCAAAAACTGGTATACGAGTATTGCTTTCATTGAGCTGCATGTTCGTCTGTCAGGAGATAGACTTGCTCCAAAGAAAGACTTTCTCTGCTGGGAGACAGGCTTTCTCCAAAAGGCTGGATACTTTTCATAATGGTTTCCTTTTCCTCTGGACACATACAGAGTCCCAATAATTTCACAGAGACCTGAGAACAAATGACCTTCTGACTCCATTCTTCAACATGAGTCATGCATAGCTTGGAATCGTTAGAGTGAATCATATATTGCTTTCAGCAGTCTGTTGGAGAATAGAGCTTTGCATACAAATACTTTGATTCATCTGGAGAAGTTCACTTTTCAAGAAACTATTTTAGTTAGGAAATTTTACATGCAGCTAGTCTAAGAAATAGACAAACAACAAAGAAGAGTGATTTCATTGAACATTTTAAATAGTGACAATTTGATATAATTGTTTTACTGCCAAAGGGGATTTCCATGCGTTGGACAGTTTATTGACTTTTTTTTCTGCAGTGATTGTAAGGACACACAGAGTCAAACTTGATGAAAAAATCATTATGCATTTTATGTTTATGACACCAAATAATATTCTGTGTCCATGTCAACTGGCCAAGCTAAAAAAGAGAATGCATAGCAAAGCATCCAGAATTTGCCAAGAGAGCACAAAGTATAATAAACCTGCCTGATGCATTGTGGTTTTCCATCAGATGCAGTCTAGCTAGACCTCAGTGTCACTTTTTTATCTATGAGCACTGGCAAAACAACAGCGCAAAACGCTTTGTTGAGGCGGAAATCACCTGCAAGAATGTTGAGTTTAAAATCAAGAACACCAGGGCAAGACATGGATTAACTCTTCACCATCTGTGAGATCTCTTGGGAAGACAGACATTTAGAGGACCTAGACATCAGTTTTTGTCTCTCAGATTCTTATGTCAGAGCCTGGGGCAATGCAGTTTCAAAGGATGATGTTAAGAATCTTGGCATCCATAGCCAATGGTTTACTTTCCAGGCTTATAGCTCCTGAATAAGACTAGTATGCACCACACTGTCAGTATCGAATGCTGATCCATTCATCTCTATGTGCAAGTTCAGTTGCACATTATGGTTTCAATTGAATCCAGATTTCTCATATCATTGCCAAGATAGCAAGGTCACTCTGAAAATCATGCCTCCTATTTGTTTCCGTGGAAA